ATGGCGGCGTTTAAAAGGACTTGAGATCTGACCAATCAGATGTCTCTTATGATTTGACTTTTACTAGAGCGACTCTATCAAGACTGTCTTATTCAATCAAGATTGGACCATAGCACACAAAAAACTTAAATATAAGCAATAAAACGTAAGCAGTATGTGAATTGACCAATCACAGTAGAGTCTGGCCATAACATAAGCAGTAATCAATCCAACATGTTGAATTCTTTACTGTTTAGGAATAATGATATAAATTCTTTGTATGTATGTGTATGAACATCATACATAAAAATTTTCACTTTTCACATTTCCGCTCTAGCGAAAAAGTTACATGATCGCTACCCAGAGTCTGCCACCTTTATCTCGGTTTATGATTGGTCTGACATTTTTCATCCATTTTTTCCCCTGAGAGTCAATTGCGTATCATCGAATATTCTTATTTCTCGCACTTTGTGCGTGAAAAAATGCATTATACAATAAGCAGTAGCAGTAGTGGATTAAAGAGTAAGCATAGAAATCAACCAATCATAGTCGAATGTGAGGAGAACAATCAACTATGATTGGTCGATTTCTACTGACTTATTTCTTAATCCATTATTGCTACTGCTCATTGTAGAAGATCATGCATTACTTCGAAAATCATTTGGCAACTCGCATCTTTATGCTATATGTCATCTCTGCGTTCGATATTAACATTTCTAGAGCCAATCGAGTTGCTCGATCCACTCCGGATTCAAACTGAGCTAATGCAGATTTTCGCGCCTCAATTAAATCTATAATCTATATATTTATGATAATGTATCCAATTAATTCGTTAACATAACGTATATTCATCTCTTTTAATACTTCTATTTTACAAATAGTGTATTTGAACTGTTATAATGTCTTAGTCTACAAACGCTCAAACAAATGTTATCAAATAGAAATTAATGAAGTACATTATGTACAATATTTAATGAGGAAAATAAATTTTTAATTCTTTTCCTCTTTATGAATTTGAAGTTACGCACTTGAAAACAAAGAATTTGCTAGTTAGTTTTTAGATTAAAGCTTACAAATATGAACAGATTATGAATATACGCCCTTAGTCTTATTATATTTTATTATTTTTCTAAGATATTTAAAAGAGATAAAAAACTTGTTTAACTTAAAAAAAGTTAAAAAGTTAACATTTAAAAGTAACTTAGCTAAGTTAAAATTTAATGCATTTGAAATTAACTAAGTTAAGTTAAAAGTTATTAACTTTTTAACTTTTAATGTTTTAATTAGTTACTACTCAACCCTGATAATTATATACGGATAAATTAGTATAAAATAATAATGATGTAGGTTTCGAATAATATAATGTTTCTTATTTATAACAATAATAATTCGTTTTTACAAATTCGTATTTGATTGATTACAATCTGATATTATTTGCGATATATCAGGTGTTATAGTCCTGGCCCAACTTAAACGAAGTATTTAAATGCGAATCTGTTAAAAGCCCACGCAGTCTTGACTTATTTAATCTCATTATAGAAAATAATTGTTCGCATGAATAAGTAGAACCAAACATACTTATTATTTTTGCACCGTGAAATCGGGGAAAATGCTCTTGTGATACATATGAATAAAATTGCATAATGTCAGTCGTTGTGTAGAAACAATTTTTGAGTAAAATGTCACATCTCAAATCAATTAATTCAAATTGTATATCTGTGAGAATGATATTAATATCAACAATGAAAGGTGTCATAAAGATAAGAAAATTTACTTCTAAAACATGCATTTCCTTGAAACAATGGTCAAATTCATTATGCAATAATTGAAGTGAATTTATACTTTTTGCATTGCTCGTCTTTAATGTGCATGGCAGATAATAAATTTGGAAAGTGTAATAACTCGGGATTGAAATTGATTAATCTATAAATTAAGTTTCATTTTAAAAGACTGAATTTGATCAAACATATGAATTATTAATTTATCCTTGTCTTGTAAATATCAGTATCAATTTCAAGTATCAATTTATGTATTCAAATGATTAGTGATATCCGCAAGAAAAGCAAAATCGGCGATTCAGAAAAACTATGATAGTTCAGGCACATTAATTTTTTATTTCTAAAAATATAGCTATTTCTTCGCGCAAATGAAAGAAACACTCAAGAGTTTTATCTCGACCATTTTATTTCGCAAAAATAAGGGATATCAGTATAGTCTAACTTCTGACTTTAAAGAAGATAAAAATTCGCGAAATTGACGATGGTTCAATCCTGTAATCTTAATGAAGTTTACAACTTTAATTACAATTTTCATTGCTTCGTCATAATTTAAAGATTTTGCTTCTTTATTATTAGTAATTATACAATGAATTGAATGTATTTCTTGTCTTGATTGTTTCATAAATTTAGACTTCAAACATCCTGCGATGCCTGCATTAATCCAATCAGTGCTGCAGCACCATCAGTAGGCACTGAAGTTACTTTGTCCAAGGCAGATTTATACTTTCCACCGCTTCTTCAATATTAGACAATAATGTCTTCTCCTGTTGACGTATCTGTTAAAGATATGGTATTCAAAAGTTCCTCGGTAACAGACAGATTCTATCCACACCACGAATAAAAATTGTTAATTATGTTATCAATGATATCAGTATTTTTCGTCGAGAGCTAATGAAAAGGCAATAAAATTCTTTGCTTTTAATAGCAATTATTGTTCAAGATTTTCACTTAATTTTTCAATACGACGTGTCACAGTTCGAAGAGACAGATTAATTGATTTAAATTTATTAATATTATCCGGATATACTATCTCTGTCGCAATTTCAATACATTGTTTGATAAATGGATCAATGCTGAATGAACCCGATTCACGTGCAATAAAATGAGCAATTTTGTAACTAGCATAAAAAAAAATGGATTTATTTAAATCTGATTCTTTTTCCTATTAGAAAAAAATATCTTTATGTAAATATCTTTATATTTAATAGAAGATGCTATTAGAGGAGAATAATACAGGAAAAGATGCTAATCTGACATCTCATTTATACAATACTATAGATTAATAATAATCAATATAATATAATAATATAAAATATAAATTTAAAACTTAATGATTATATTCATCATTATGTTATAATAAATGCTGTCTATTGTATGTATATTGATGTATTAGCGTCATAGTGTAACAATAAACTACTGTACAAATAATTCCATTAGTAATCACTAGAATTTATCACCTAATAGGAGATATTAAGAGGAGCCACGATATATACACTAGTCATAATATCATTTTTTTTATATGTCTATATTATAAATAAAAATTACTTTATTATCAGTGACTTTAAATTGTTTAAGAGTTCAATTTATTCCGGTCCTTCTATCTGTCTTGTCTCATAAGTGATTCCATGGTTCCATAGTTATAAGATTATATTTTTTTGGAATTATATTCATTCCACAGATCAAACATTGTGCATAGTTATTAAGTTTAATTATAACCATTTTTCTTCCCACAGACTCTCAACAAGAACCTGTATTTATAGTTCTTTTCGTATTTTGATTATCATTATAATGATATTATTAATATTAACTGTTTTATCCATATTATTAATATTAACTGATTTTTATAATTTTTCTAAGTTAGACAGCTAGAGATAATTTGACGATTGCTTATCTATATTGCTATTGTCATTTAGTTATTTATTATTTTTCTTTTATTTTGCATGTTCAGCAGAATATTTATTGTTTCTATTTAAAGAATTTAAATAAAATATATTTATTGATTACGTTGATATTTATTGCTTTTATTTAAAGAATTTAGTACTCAAAACCAAAAATTATAACACTATGTATGCGCGGTGCTATTTTTATGATAAAAAAAAGCATAAAATACAAAATTTCATTCTAAGGTACAAAGAAAATAGAATACACTCCTGAATTGTAAGTAAAGTTAACTGTAGATATGCACAATAGCCGCATTCGCGAGTGCCCGTGTCCAGTTTCAGCATTTTGTCGATCTCTGTATAAGACTATTATCAGTTTCTAGTAAAGCGAAAGAAATTTTTAATAGGATATTTTTTATTTATTTTATAAAAATAAATAATTTTATAATCTAACTTTAAAAGATAGTTTATAGTTTTGTACCGGAATTAATTCTTGGCACTCGGATTAGATGCGTTCGGCAATGCAAATCTGAGATGTGAACTAGCAAATGGCGAGCTTGATCACGTGATTTTTCGAGCAATCCGAGTGACTATACCTATTAAAAATAGATCGTTACACATGAATAGCAGATTCATACGCAAGGTGTGTTTTCTTAAAAGATATTGCAAAATAAATTTCAGTAAGTTGAAATTTATAAGTTATATCACTTGATTTATATTTGTTAGAGTCTTTAATATATTAATATAGTTTGATTTTATTTCGTTCTATATGTGCAACATGAGCTTTAATCTAAAAATTAACTAACACATTCTTTGTTTTCAAATACGTAATCCCAAATTCAAGAAAAATTAAAGAAAAAAAGAATTAAAAATTTACTTTCCTCATTAAATATTGTATACATAATATATTCCATCAATTTCTATTTGATAACATTTGTTTCAGCGTTTATAGACTCAGACAGTTCAAATACACTATTTATAAAATAGAAGTATTAAAAAAGAGATGAATATGTGTTAACGAATCAGTTGGACATTATCATAAATATACAAATTATGAACTTAATTTAGGCGCGAAAATCTGCATTATCTCTGCGAGCTCGGTTTTTGAATCCAAAGTGGATCGAGTAGCTCAATTATCTCTAAATAATATTAATATCGAACGCAAATGAGATGATATGTAGCAGAAAGATGCGAGTTGCTGAACGGTTTTCGAGGTAAAAGAACAAACGGACACCTTCGATTTGCAATGCCAAATGCACTTTTAAAGGGAACTCCTTTTTACTCCTCATTCACTACTCATTATTGTCATCACAAGAATGTTCCTATACACAACACAATTTAAAAAAAAAACAGTTAACTCAACTTCAGTTAACAATATAACATTTATTTAGTGAGATACAGTCTATTATTCTGGTAATTAGAAACATTGTAACTTTAACCTTAAATAAAATGTATCCATGCAACATCATCAATGGTATCCATAATTTTTTTGGAATGAACTTGTGAAAGATTTACTGCCATAATAAGCTGTAAAAAAACAATGTTACAAATAATGCTCTCTATTTAGTGATACAAGTCCACACAAATGTTGCCCTCTTTTTTTTTTAGTTCTGAATGTTAAGATAGAATGCTATTTATGTCAACTTATGTTACTAAATAAAAAGTATTCAAAGTCTATTATTCTAAATAATTCAAAACGCTTTTGACGCTTTTATCAAATTCTTTTGCAATCACTTACTTCATAAGGGTTAATTCAGGCATGCCTGGGTCAGCACCTTTGCTGAATCCTAAAAACAAAATATTGAAACTTTTTAGTATTGCCATGCAAACAAAATAATAGGTCTGTTTGCGTTGCTTGTATTGTTTGTACACAGTATTTTTGCTTTTTTCCTTTTCAAATATTTACCCATATATTTCGTTTTAAGTGCAAAAATTTTTAGAGATGTCAAGCAATGCGAACCAACCAAATCTATCGATCGAATATATTCTACTTGGTGTTTATAACTAAATGCTCACGAGCATTATTGCAGCCTTGTTTAACATTTGATGAATAACAAGGATGAAATGATGAACACGAGAGTTAAAAGAATGTCAAGTGGAACATATCATTATAAGATTTGAAAACTAACCTAAAAAGAGTACGGCAGGAATAAAACCCCATTGAAATACAAATTTGCTCACATTCAGGACAATGGCTATCCTCTGTTTCGTAGTCGGACTTAAAACCATTTTGACTATATTAAGATTTTTAGCAACGCTTGTGTCAAAATCGTTGAAATCCTACTCTTACATCAAGCAACACAAAACAACGTGCCCACAATCCACGACAAATTCAGACAAATTGCGACGACTAATGTTCAGTGTTGCCAACTCGTTGAGAGCTTTTCTTTAGGCCTAGTCTATAATCAGTCGGAAGACGTTGTTGTATGGGTGCCGTAAGAAATTAACCAATCATGGTCGATTGTTTCTTTTCATGCGACAGCCGACAACCGAATACGCATGCGTTTCCGACGCCGACATACGACGTATTGTAGAACAGGAGATCGATTCTGTATTTTCAAACGAGAAAATTACAAAAGTGAGCAAGTTTTTCTAGGTGTTGATCAATAAAATTATCAGTAAGTATTCTAATAAATTCGCTCACCTTTGTAATTTTCACCTCGTTTTAAGATACAAAATCGATCCTCAGAATACGTTTTTGAAAGCACAGGAAGCACATAAATCCTACCCAACTATTAAATTACAAATGGTAAGTATAAGACAACTATAGTCCACTATGAACATAACTATTAAAAATAAATAAGGTATAGAAAGTAATTTATTTATACAAAAATGTGTTTATGCAAATCTTCAAAAACAAAGATATTTTTTGTAATTATATAGAATCGTTTCCTCAAATTTTAATAAAAATATACTCATTCGATGCGTTTTAACTCAAAACGAAAGCATCTGGTAGAAAAACGCGATAGTCTTGTTTCCGAAACAAGTTATTAAGTTAAAGTTTGAGACATTAGAGGTTTTCAAGCCTGTTGACTATGGGATAGAGAGATCCGAAAACCTTTCTGTCATATATGACAAAAACCTACAAATTAAACATTTTAAAAACACAAGTTTTCTGCTTTAAAAACAAATTTACTACTTTAAAATCATAACTTCACTATCTTAAAACACAAATTCATTATTTTAAAAATATAAATTCATTTTATACTTTAACGGAGAAAATGTTCTTAAAGTAATGAATTTATATTTTAAAGCAGATTCGCAGAATTACTTTGCATTGTTGATATGTAGCTAACAATGCTAGATTACTGATAAAATAGCAGACAAATTGAATATTTCTGATTTATTTATGTCTATATATTTTCTATATAATTTGGGAATCGTTTGGGGAAATTTGGGAAAAGCATTTAAACATTTGGGAAATAGTATTCTTCTTGTAATTAACAAATTTTATCATGCGTTAAGTTAGTAGACAGCGATTTTATTTATGTTTTATGAATAGAATTGATTAGAAATCATTTGGGGAAGATGTCTTCATTATTATTTTCATTTGGGAAAAGTAACTATTTGATAATTCAATAAATTTATATATTACGAAAACGAACAAAGCCTGAGTGTAGTACAATGAATATATTATTAGTAAATCTAAAATCGTCAAAAATTAACTAATTAAGCCCGGATCTAATTATGCGTAGTAAGAAATTATGTGTAGTAAGAAATCAACTTAATCATAAACTTAATTATATTCGACTAATTTTCTTCACTTTCTGTGATTAGTTGATATTAGTGATTGATATTAGTGTGGGAAAAAGTTCGTGGCGTTTTTCCCATTAGATGGCATTATAAAAACGCCACGAACTTTTTCCCATACCTAATATATATATATA